GCAGGGAGCAGGGGACAGGGGACAGGGGGCAGGGGACAGGGGACAGGGGACAGGGGACAGGGGGCAGGGGGCAGGGGGCAGGGGGCAGGGGACGGGGGACGGGGGACAGGGGGCAGGGGGCAGGGGGCAGGGGACGGGGGCAGGGAGCAGGGGACAGGGGACAGGGGGCAGGGGATGGGGGACAGGGGGCAGGGGGCAGGGGGCAGGAGACAGGGGACAGGGGGCAGGGGACAGGGGACAGGGGACAGGGGACGGGAGACAGGGGGCAGGGGGCAGGGGACAGGGGACAGGGGATGGAAGACAGGGGACAGGGGGCAGGGGACAGGGGACAGGGGGCAGGGGGTGGGGGACAGGGGGCAGGGGGCAGGGGGCAGGGGACAGGGGACAGGGGGCAGGGGACAGGGGACAGGGGACAGGGGACAGGGGACGGGAGACAGGGGGCAGGGGGCAGGGGACAGGGGACAGGGGACAGGGGATGGAAGACAGGGGACAGGGGGCAGGGGACGGGGCAGGGGGCAGGGGACAGGGGGCAGGGGGCAGGGGGCAGGCCACTGCATAGCCCATGGGGCTTTTCCTTGCCTTTGTTCTCATTTTTGCTCCCCTCTTCCTCTCCAGCTGCCTTAGCACTGTCTTTTAATATAGCTTATTTGACTTGCTCATTCCTGTTTAATCCCCTTGCAAAGGCTCACTGTGCTGGCCATGGAAAAGCCCTTGCTCTCACTTAGCAAAATTATCCAGGAGCAAAGTTTCCTAGCAGTCTTGAGAGGAACACACGGGAGCAGACCTGCCTGAGAAGTATTTCAGATGCACGTCTCTGAAAGTCTTTGGAATGAGCCACAGACATCACTATTGTTCCATAGAGAGAGGAACTGAGAACGGGCCATCTGTACCAAACACTGCGCAGAGCACAAGGACGCAGCAGGGTTTTACCAAAGGCGTGGGATTGGTGTGATGACTCAGTCTTTCCACAAGCATGAGGCCCTGGGTTCAATCCCCAGCAGCCACCTATGAAGCTGGGCTGACATGCGCTTGTACCCCCAGTGCTGGGGAGGTGGAGAAAGGAGGATACCTGGGTTTGCTGGCCCGCCAGACTTAGCCAACCCAGAGAGCTTCAGGCTCAGTGAGAGACACTGTCTTCAACAATAAAGTAGAATGAGAGCAGTGACTCCCCATGTGGTCTTCTGGCCTGTGCGCTGGTGCAGGCACACACACACACACACACACACACACACACACACACACACACGCACACGCACGCACACACACGCAACACACACGCACACACACGCACACACACGCGCGCACACACGCAATGCACACACACACACACACACACACGCACGCACACACACCCTCTCCCAGGAGCACACTAGTGTGCCCTAAGGCAGCTAGTATTTAAAAGCAGCTCCTAGAAACCTTAGCACATCCTTCCCCTTTCACAGAATTCAGAAAGAACGTGGAGGAGAGAGTAGGCAGATCTCTCTTTAATCAGTCGTGTCTAGTGACCACCCACTTCTCCTGGGAAGAAATGAGTGTAGAGGCGGAAGTGTGCGTGTTGAAAGCCACAATGATGGACTGAAATGGGAATGTCTCCATTTGGGGGGTTTCACCTCAGGTAAACTTGGGGCTCTACTTTCTGGCATAGTTGACCCTCTTGACCTCAGCCTCCCAGCCTGATGATGTCAAAGTCACCTCAGGGAAACTGATCATGGAAAGCATGGAGTACAGGGCGGTAGTGTATGCCTGTAATCTCAGCCCCAGGCCTAGAGGATCACAGGTTCCAGGCTAGCCCAAGCTACAGTGAATTTGAGGGCAGCCTGGGCTAGACAGTGAGACCCTGTCTCAATAAACCAAAGCCCACATAAAACCACATCCCCCCTGTAACAGACGTGAAGCTAGCAGGCTGTCTGAACTATGCATGGGAATGGTTGACAGGCTTGGTGACACAGTCTTGTAATCCCAGCTACTGGGGGTGCTGTTCCAGGAGCACTCCAAAGTTCCAGGTCTGCTTGTACTACAGAGCAAGTTCAAGGCCAGCCTTGGCAACTTTGTTCAGGCTCTGTCTCAAAATGAAAGCAAAAGCAGTTCTGGGAGTATAGGCCATCGGCAGAACAGTGGTCTTACACGTGGCTCTGTATCTAGTATCACAAAGACACTCACCACCCAGCTCTTCCTCCCGAGGTGTCTCCCATCTGTGTGCAAACGCAGGTACAAACACCATGTTCTGCCATCCTCGCCACAGCCTGGAAACATCCCCGTGGGGAGAGGGGAGAGAGAGAGAGAGAGAGAGAGAGAGAGAGAGAGAGAGAGAGAGAGAGAGAGAGAGAGAGAGAGAGAGGAGAGAGAGAGGGCTTGTCTCCTTCTGCTCCACTTTCATTTCTTCCCCCTTACTGTTGTTCTTAACAATGAACAAATTACTGATGCAGAGCAGGAGGAGATCTGCAAGGGCCCGATAAAATGTAAAGACACACAACAGAATCAATCAGGTTTCAGCCACATAAAAGATCACATCCTCAGCAAGCAGTGACACTTGTCTGATGTGCCAACGCAGTAAAAACCCTTGGACAGCCCAGCATAGTCATTCCGGGGCCAACAGCATCAGCGCTGGGCAGCCACTGTGGTCACTGTCATGGAAGGCTGTAGTCACTTAGGAGTTTTGATCTCAAATTGCCTCCTTTAGAACCCACCAGCTGACTGGACCACGCTTTGTGTCTTCTTTCTCAGTTGTTAGGTTCTTTAACTGTTTTTTGTTTATTCTTTGAGACAGGGTCTCCTTTTACTCCAGGCTAACCTCAAACTCACCATAGCTCTCCTGGCTCAGGCTCCCACATGCTAAGCTTGCAGTCACGTCACCACCCTGGGCTCTCTAATTGTTAAACCTGCCCGCTTCCTAACTCACCAAGCTTCCATAGGCATGCAGTCAGAGGATATTTTATTGTGTGTTTTTAAAAATGAGATCATGTTTGTTTCGTTTAATTTCTTTTTTCTTTGTGAGATGACACTTGTAATGGGTAGTGTGATTGGTGCCTGACATTCGGCCAACAACACGCATCAGCACACACATCAGCTGTTATTAAGTTGAATGCACAGGACATTGCGAGGCCAGTGTAGACATCAGGAGCACAAACATTGGTTTGTTTCAGGGTATTAATCTCCAGGAAAGATAAATGACATGGTGGCCATGATATCAAGCAGAAATGAGTAACAGAGAAAAGGGTCAAAATACGTAAGGGCTGGAGAGATGATTCAGGGGGTGCAGTGCTTGCCGTGAGAGCACGAAGATCTGACTTCAGGTCCCAGGATTCATGTAAACACTGGGCATGGCCTGCTTGCCTGTAACATCAACTCTGGGGAGCAAATGCAAGAGGATGCCGAGGGGCTTGTTGTGCAGCCAGTCTGGGTTAAGCAGTGAGCCCCAGGTTCAACCAGAAATCCTATCTCAAAACATAAGGTGGAGAAGCAATTGAGAAAACTATTCTGACATTGTCTTATAGCCTCCACATGTGCACCTGCCTAGGTGAGTGAACCTGCATCCATGCATTCACATGTACACTCGTGCACACACACACGCACACACACACACACACGCACAAAAGAGACACGTACAGAGAGAGGGGGGGCAGGGGGAAGGGGACTGACTGGGAGGAGGAAGGGTCGAAGGAAATAACACAATAAAAATACATTATTTAGCCGGGCGGTGGTGGCGCACGCCTTTAATCCCAGCACTCGGGAGGCAGAGTCAGGCGGACCTCTGTGAATTCGAGGCCAGCCTGGTCTACAAAGCGAGTTCCAGGACAGGCGCTAAGCTACACAGAGAAACCCTGTCTCGAAAAAACCAAAACCCCATTATTTTCATGCATGATACTATCCTCATGAAACCCTTTATTGTAAATAATCAACATGCACACAAACCTTTAAAAACAATGGCAGAGTTGCCGGGAGTGTAAGCGATAAAGGGATCACCTGAGTCCGAGGGCTTCCAAGGGGCCGTGGAGGAAGTGGACGCTTTGACGTGCAGTTCCATAGACAAGAGGAAGTGAGGAGGAGAGCGGTGTGTGCCTAGTGTAAGGCCTGAGATTTGATCTCCAGCATAAAGACGTAAAAGAGGAAGACACTCTAGGAAGAACAATGTTGGCAAAGAGGAAGGGATGGGGAATATGGCCTGTGCTGCAGCAGGGTGGCTCACCGTGTTTGGCTTGGGTCACAAAGAACATACAGATGAATTTTGATGGATCCAACTAGAAATGCAGTTAGGACGTGCACTTTGTTTGGGAAGTAATAAGAAGCCCTCACAGGTATGTTGTTTGTGGCAACTATTCTGAAAATAACATTTAAAGAGTGCATAGGGGGCAAAAACGGACCATTTTTATGCATAACTTTGTTGGCATGACATCACTACAACAAAATATTCAAGGCAATGAATTTAGAAAGAAAAAAATTAGATCACAGTTGGACAGTTCAAATCCAAGACTGGGTGGCCTGTTTCTTTGGCTCCTGATGGTGGCAGATGGCGATAGTTGGAAGCATGTGTGTGAGTGAGCGTTCACATCTAGAACCAGGAATGGGGGAAGATTGACAGATGTCTGTCCCACACTTTTGTTCTGTGCATGCTCCAGTGACCTAAAAACCTCAAAGTCCACAGGCCTCCTCATCTACCATGCTGAAGACCAAGGTTTTCCATACGTGATAACTAAGCTACTTTTAGTGAATTCTGACACGTCTTTCTGTGGCATGTCCATCAGAATATACCTTTTTGTAGTCAGTGATGCATACTGTTTTAAAAAATTTAAAAATTGGTTATATATTTATTTAGTGGTGTGTGTGTCCAATGCCATAGCATGCTGTGCTATGCATGTGTAGGTCAGAGCACACGCAGGAGTTAGGTCTCTTCTTGTATCACGTGGGTAGAGTGATTTGTCAAGCTTGGTGGTAAGCATCTTTAGTCACTGAGGTATTTGCTGGTCCAACATTGTTTTTTAATTCATTTTCTCCCTGTACAGGTATGATCTCCATCCCTCTGTACATCCCTCACATGTTGTTTAACTGGAATTTTGGAAGTGAAATCTGCATATTTTGGCTCATTATTGACTATCTTTTGTGTACAGCATCTGTCTACAATATTGTCCTCATTAGCTACGATCGATACCAGTCAGTTTCAAACGCTGTAAGTTACAAAGTTAATTCATTTTCCTTAGAAGATTATATAGTTGGAAACTCTGGGTCCCTAAGCCAGGCACATATTTCTGTACTGGGAATATTGGGGATGAATTCAAGGGATTTGAACACATTTGAAGCTCTTTGTCCTTTTGATAACTGGCCTAACGTCCTCACTGGCTTTTATTCTGTGTGAGCTGGCTAACTCTCCCTATGGGTGTCTGAAATGGGAGGGAAGGGACCCAAGAAAATTCACGATTAACTGGGAGAAGTACCAGACTGAGTCTTCAGTAGCTTGAATGTCTGTGGGTTTACACCCATGGCCAAGTTGAGACCCCAAATATTTTCCTCAAGATAGAACTTTGTGGGCAACTAGAAAGAACCCCAGTGTGAATGGTGAGAAAATCAATCTGAACACAGAAGAGAAGACAGGTAATGCAGCGGGGCCAGTTTAGGAGGCGTGACGAGGAGGCTGAACTTAGCCGAATCTGGGGCAGCCTCACGGGTGAGCTAGAGGCAATTCTTAAGCAAGATAAATCTCTTAGCAACAGAACGAAGGAGAAAATAGGGCATGGGTAGGAAGAAGCCACAAAAATGTGGGGCAGTGATTTGTGGTCTTAAAAACAACGGAGGAGGAGTGGGTCTGGGGGAGGGGAGCCGGAGGAGTAGAGGGAGGGGAAGCTGCCCCTGGGATATAATGTGTGGGAGAAGAATAAACAAATCTGTCTCTCTGTCTCGTGTGTGTGTGTGCGTGCGTGCGTGCGTGTGTGTGTGTCTGTGTGTGTGTGTATCTGTGTGTGTGTGTGTCTGTGTGTGTGTGTGTCTGTGTGTGTGTGTGTCTGTGTGTGTGTGTGTGTGTATCTGTGTGTGTGTGTGTGTATCTGTGTGTATCTGTGTGTGTGCGTATGTCTGTGTGTGTGTCTGTGTGTGTGTGTGTGTGTATCTGTGTGTGTGTGTGTGTATCTGTGCGTGCGTGCGTGTGTGTGCGTCTGTGTGTGTGTGTATCTGTGTGTGTGTGTGTGTGTATCTGTGTGTGTATCTGTGTGTGTGCGTGTCTGTGTGTATCTGTGTGTGTGCGTGTGTCTGTGTGTGTGTGTGTGTCTGTGTGTGCGTGTGTCTGTGTGTGTGTGTCTGTGTGTGTGTGTGTGTATCTGTGTGTGTGTGTGTGTGTGTCTGTGTGTGTGTGTGTATCTGTGTGTGTGTGTGTGTGTGTGTGTGTATCTGTGTGTGTGCTTGGTGGAGGTCAGAGAACAACCTCAGCTGTGGGTCTTAGCTTCACCCTGTTTGAGACAGGGTTGCTATGTTGTTTTTCCACTGTGTAGACCAGGCTAGCCTGTCCGTGCAGTTCTGGGCTTGCTTCTGTGCCCGACTCCTATCTCTCCTGGGGAGTGTTGGTGTTCCAGACGCGCTACCGGAGTCTTGCTTCACACGGGTGCCGAGGATCTGAACCCGGGTCCCCAGGCTTGCCTGACAAGTGCTCTCTCTCTCCCCTGAGCAGCGGCCAGCCCTCGTTTGCAGCCTTTGCCTTCCTTTACTCCTGGATCTTAGGATCTCAAACCTTTGGGAGACCGTTGCACCATCTACTCTGCTAATGCTAAGATACAGAAATAAGTATTTGGGGAATGACTTAGGTGGAGGCAGAGCTGGAGATCCACAGGTTCTGTACTGTCGACCAAATGCTGAGCTGGCAGTGTTGAGAGGACGCAGAAGCTCCTGCCTGGGAGGACCTAACACAGAAAGAAATTCGATTAGATAAAAGGTAAACTGTTGGAACAAAGAGATCCTAAAATACTGCTGCTCAAGTAGTATTTTATAGACACATTTCCTTTACTCTCACAGAATTGTCTGGAGAAGATAGAAAGTTCCACTCCATGAGGTTACCCTGGAACTTCCCAGCCCCCACATTAACTGGGTGGCCTTGCCTGTAGTGGGTAGCTGTTCCAGCTTTGACCTGGAAGTACTACCCCCATTGAGGTTTTGGTAACTGTCACGCCTACAAGGCCTACAAGGCAGATCCTAGAGAGGACCCCTGAAGACCCGAGATCCAGATGTGCCGGCTCTCTTGGTTCCTGGATCCTGGACGCTGGAGGTAGACCAAGCAGAGTTCTCCAGAGAACACCGCTGGACTGTGCTTCACCTTTCCCAGACCCTGTAACCTATCCCTTCATTTGTAAGTTACCCCACAAAATAAACCTCCCTTTTAGCTACATGAAGTGGCCTTAATAATTCTACCAATATCTGGTGCCCAACGTGAGACTCGAACCCACGACCCTGAGATTGAGAGTCTCGTGCTATACTGACTGAGCTAGCTGGTTGTGGTGGTGCATGCCAGTAGGATTTGCTGAAGGAGGCAGAGGCAGAAGGCAGTGGTAGGCAGTTCTTCCTGTGACTCCCTGGAGCTTTAGGGCGTGGAGAGCTCCAGGCCGCTCCAAGCCCCTCTCTGGTGGGCACTGCTCCAAGCCCTTCTCAGTGCCTCCGCAGGGTGCCACCAGGGACAGTAAACTGTGGAAGCCTCCCGCAGGGTGCCACCAGGGACAGTATGGTGTAAACTGTGGAGGCCTCGGGCTAGGGCGGGGAGCTGGTACTCACAGCGGTTTTCTGCTGGTCTGAGGGCTAAGCTTGCCGGGGAACTGGGACCAGATTTAGCTGCTCCTGTTTTTGGGATTGGAACTGTGGAGGTGCTCCCTGATTATAAACAGTTGGTCCCCAGGAGTGTGTGTGTGTGTGTGGGGGGGGGGGGGATTTTACAGGAAAGAAGAGACAGGGAAGTGTGGTAAGTGCAGAAAGTGTGCCACAGCAGCCACAGAGGAGGCTGAGGGTGGGAGCCACCCAGGCCTTTGGAATTTGCCTCACGTGAGCACCAGATATGTAGAATTATTAAGGCCACTCCACATAGTTAAAAGGGAGGTTTATTTTGTGGGGTAACTTACAAGTGAAGGGATAGGTTACAGGGTCCAGGAAAGGTGTAGTGCAGTCCAGCGGTGTTCTCTGGAGAACTCTGCTTGGTCTGCCTCCAGGGTCAAGGAACCAAGAGAGCCGGCACATCCAGATTTCAGGTCTTAAGGGCTCCTGTCGCCGCCCCGCCTTGTAGGCGTGACAGTTACCGAAGCCTCAATGGGGTTAGTACTTCCAGGTCAAAGTTGGAACAGCTATCCACTACACTTGCCCTCTATAGGTCAAGGAGCAGCAAACATTTGTTGTCCGGGGGCCCAATGGTAAATGTTTTCAGTTTTGTAGTACCTATCATATTCTCAACTCTGCTATAGCACAGAGTAGCCCTAGATGATTTGTGGTGTGTGTGTGTGTGTGTGTGTGTGTGTAGGGCAGTGTACTTGTTGGATGCTGATAAAACTTCATTTATTAAACCAAGTGGTGGGCCAGATTTGTTTCATAGACAATAGTGTGATGACCTTGCCCTAGGCTGTTACCCTCTGCCTGAGAAAAGTCTAGCTGTTGGTATTCCGGTTTCTATTCTAAAAAAGAATAGGGGTCCACAGGAAGGGATTTTCTTTTAAACAAGTGGTATGAGTCACTGTCATTTCTACTCATATCTCACTGGTGGGACTCAGTCCCATAATGCCACCTCAGTGCAAAGGGATCTGGGAAATGTAGTCTCTAGCTGAGCTACAGTTTGGCCAGGAGAAAGAGGAAAATGGATGGGACAGGACCATCAGCTGACTCTGCTGGTTGTCATGGGGTCTTCATCCATGTCAGTGCACTGCAGTCTGTATGGTGAACTACAGAGAAAGTGGCAATGTTTGGGTCAATGCCACAGCTAATAGTTTCACTGTTTCCCAAAGGCTAGACTTGTCCTGGATTGAGTCATGAAACCTGTTTGGTGGGTTGTAACCAAAAGCCACGTTAAATCAGAACATTTCTCATTTGTACTTTAAAATTTTCAAGTTGATTTTTAAAAATCTTTATAAATCCTTTAAAAAGTTTTAATTATGTGTCTGTGCATCTTTGTGGTATGTGCCTATGTGTGCACTTGCATGAGGAGGCCAGCAGAGGGCTTCAGATTCCCTGATGCTGGAGTTACAGGTGGGTGTGAGAAGTCTAAGGTGGAGTCTAGGATCGGAGGAGCCTGGGTCCTCTGTAAGGCTCTTCCCAAGACACCTTTGCAGCCCACCCCCTTAAATCTTTTCTGGAGGCTCCTTGGACTTTCTCCACTGGTTGTCCAAGATTTTGAGCCTATTCTCAAGTTGGTGGCCACAAAAAGGGGCCGCATATCTAGTTAGAAAATGGGCTTACAAAGAGATGATGAAAAATACCCAGAGAGGAAGTGTGTGTGTGTGTGTGTGTGTGTGTGTGTGTGTGTGTGTGTGTGCACTTTAGTTTTGTTCTAAAGAATTCTCTGTCAGTGGAGGCTGCCAAATTGCTAAGACCTCCATTCCTAGGAACAGAGCTGAGTGCAGGACAGACCCTACACGTGAAACAGTGTGAACAATGGCAGGACAGCTGAGAGTGCATTGTACTGGGTCGGGATGAATCCAAGACTCCTGAGCACTCCGGCAGTGTTAGTGGGAAACTCGGTTTTGCTGCAGCTGTGAGTAGAGGACATGGCGACAGGAAACGGGGAACTGGACCTGGGAAGTAGACATTTTGAAGACCTTAATTTTGAAAATGAAACTTCAATGCAGATGGCCACGATGTTGTTCAGAGGTGTCTTCCGGAAGGGCCAGGTTTTGTGTGGTTGTACCAGCAGTGGGTGAAGCCGATGAGCAGTGGAGACAGACCGCAGCTGGAGGGAGTCACGGACCAGCAGTGGGTGAAGTGGATGAGCAGTGGAGACAGACCACAGCTGGAGGGAGTCATGGACCAGCAGTGGGTGAAGCAGATGAGCAGTGGAGATAGACCACAGCTGGAGGGAGTCACGGACCAGCAGTGGGTGAAGCATTTGAGCAGTGGAGACAGACCACAGCTGTAGGATGAAGGTAGGGTGAGAAGATTGTTCTTTACCTTCAGATGAAGAAAGAAGCTTGACAATGAACTCTAGACTGTGAGAATAGCATTGGAGGGACTGGCTAGTGATCCGTAGCGAAGGACCCTGGTCTGTGCTGCTAAAAACAGCAGGAATTAACTCTCTCCTTGCTCTGGAGGCTACAAGTTTGACACCAGGGTGGCTGCCACGGGGATGTCCCCTCTCTGAAGGCTCTAGGAAGACCTTCCATGTCTTTCTTTTGTCTTTTGACGTGAGTGATCCTAGGCTTGGAGACACTTCACTACAATCCCTTCTCTGCCATCATGTGGCCTTGAGGGAAGGCTGTAAACTTGGAATAGGATGGGTACCTAGGTCCCTACCAGCACAATGTGGACTGCATGACAAAAATCTCCACATGAGGATGAGTGAAGGGTGGCAGGCTGCTCAGACATGTACCTCAACAGCTAATTGTTCACAGGCAGAAATCAGAAGGAAACTTGGGTCTTTTACTTTTCCTCTTCTTATAAGGACACCAGTCATTATTGAATCAAGATGAGCCCAAGTCCAATATGATGTCATCTTGGCTTGATTATATCTGTCAACACCATATTTCCAAATAAGGTCACATTCACAAGTACTTGTGGATAGGTTCCAATATAACTGATTTGGGGATGCAATGCAGTTGAATACAGCAACTCATCTCATTAGTAATACCAGAAAGTTCCAGTGGGCCTCCCCATCTCCCAAATGGAACATGACTGACAGAATGTTTGGCTTTTTTACTGGGGTAGGGAAGGAGGCAGGGCAGGGGGCAATATCGTGAATAATGTACATGTTTTGTAGACGGTGAGACTGATTTCATAGGGGCCACTCCAATCAACTGGGTCTGGGTTCCAGCAGTGCTTGAACTGTCGTCTGTCAAGAATGCTCCCCAGAGATGAAGATATGATGAGACTGGCATCCTCTTCTCAAGTCCCTTGGATGTCCATGATCTCAATCGACTTCATGCATAATGAAAGAGAGAGGGCATCTCTAGCATATTGCTTTATACCATTACAAAGGCTGAACAGAGCAATTAAAAAACTAAGTGCAGTTTTATGACCATCTGGGTATTGTTCCCATCTTCATAACTGTTAGACTCAGTGCAAGAGATGTATTAATTAGTGTCACGAGAAGGAGAAGGTAAAAGAGGAGGCTGTGTGTGGAAGCTTGTGGCCAGTATCGTTTTGGCCAGCTTACTTCTGAGCTTACTTCCAGAAATGCCAGGAGTTTGGTGGTGGTGGGGTCACATTTCTTTACAGTTAAAAAAAAAAAAACTTTAAAATGACCACTTTGCCCTGACAGCCATTGGCACGCATGTGCACTAACTAAATCAAAGGGCCACGCTGCTTCTCTTTAAAAATGTGAAACACACACAGTGAGATTTGAAAACTCACAGAGAAAATCAGAGAAAACGAGAGGAGGTGACTTGCACCTCTTCCTGTAAGTGAGGACACGGCAGAGCCTGGGACGTTTGTGCTGGAAGGAGGCTTGCAGACCTCACCGAGTTTCAGAGAGGTTGATGCCCACAGTATAAAAACACACAGAAACCTCTCTCTGCACTGGCTGCTCTTGCAGAGGAGCCTGATTTGGTTCCCAGCATCCACACTGTGGCTCACAACCACCTATAATGTAACTTTGGCCCCTGGGGACGAGATGTCCTCTCCTGACTTTTGGGATCACCACACATGCGTGTGTATACATACATGCAGGCAGAACACGCGTACACATAAAAATCAATAAATGTAAAACCAAACCGAACCCAAGTCCTCCTGGTTTTGTGACCGTGTACCACAGGAGACAGAAAGGAGAGCCAGCTAAGGGGCAGCCCGGGCTGTGCAGTGAGTTCAGTCACACTGGGCTAAAGCGAGTTCTTGCCTTGAAAATGAATGACCAGGATGTAGCTCAGTAGTCGAGCACTTTCCTGGCATGTGCAGGGCCCTGGATTTGATATCTTGGTTGAGATATTTATTCCTGATACAGAATGATTGGTCTTTACATGCCTTTAGATTTTCAAGGTACTCTTAAAGATTTCAGGTTTGACAAAAAGATCACAGAGGGTAACACTCACTCACAGAACCTAACTTCATCTTTCCTTGTGGAAGCCTGGCCTTATCACCATCAGGAAAGCCATATTTGGGCACATGTGCACACACACACACACACACACATGCACAATGACACTTGCTGTAGCCATGTCTCTCAGCATGGCCTGTTGTCAGTTTTGGCTATGATGGAAACACTTACAGACAGAAGTTCCCTGGGAGTGTTCAGAAACACATAGCATCTCTCCCACATGCCGAGTGCCTTTCTGTTTGTGCACAGTCTCTCGGGAGCGGTGCAAGGGTTATTTCTGTCATTGGCCTAACCCTGGAGTTCCTGTGTGAACTGCTGAGTATATTTCTATTCTTCCTGAGTGTCAGAATCAGATAATTCATAACCTTCAGACTTTTTAAAACTGTGACTATGGTGCCCTATAATGTGCGACACGTGCTTCTCCACGTGTTTATTGATATTGAATTATCCCAAAGATACATTGCTTTCATTGTTGAACATCATCCCACAATCCGTCCACTCTGATGCATTCTGACATTGACTGCTTTGTTTCATTGAAGAGAACAGCTGTCATGTTCTAGGCTGCAGATGGAGAACATGGTGAGTGTGTTCAGTTTCAGTAACTGTTAGAGTCAGGAAAAATTCCTTCCTTCCTTCCCCTCTCCCTCCCTTCCTTCTCTTTCTTTCTGCATGTGTACACATGTGCACATGCACTTGTGTGTGCATGCATGTGGTGGTCAGAAGTGCCATCCACCTTTTTTATGTATGTATATGCATGTGTTCATATGTGAGCAGGTGCCATGTGTGTGCAAGTGTGCATGCAAGTGTGTGCAGAAGATAGAAGACAGCCTCAGCTATCATCCTGAAAAGTGCCACCCACCTTCTTTGGGACAGGGTCTTTCTTTGGCCTGGAGCTCACCCATTAGGCTAGCCTGTCTGGCAGGAGGCCTCGGGGACCCCCCTGTCTCCACCACCGTGTGCTAGGATGACAGATTCATGCCACCACACCAGGCTTTGGGAAACTTGCTTATCTTAGATAAAATGCCTTGCTGTGGCATTCAAAGCTTCACTTAGAGCTTTTCTGTTTTCTCTGGAAATTTATTGAGAAAGTTTCCGCCTTGGCTAAGGTTCTATTGCCCTTGATCTCGTGTCTGGGCAAAAGGCACAATACCATGTTAAACCATGTGGCTCTTGCACATCCCTGGAACTTGTGAGTGCCTGTGGGATGCTCCATGTATTTTCATTAAAACTAATCTGTCTGGTTTCTTTAGGTGTCTTACAGGGCTCAGCACACTGGTATTGTGAAGATTGTCACTCTGATGGTGGCTGTTTGGATACTGGCTTTCTTGGTAAATGGCCCGATGATTCTGGCTTCACATTCTTGGAAGAACAGCACTAACACAAGGGAATGTGAGCCTGGCTTTGTTACAGAGTGGTATGTCCTTGCCATTACATCGTTCTTGGAATTCCTGGTCCCTGTCATCTCAGTGGCCTATTTCAATGTACAAATTTACTGGTGCCTGTGGAAGCGCGGGAGTCTCAATAGGTGCCCCAGCCACGTGGGGTTCGTCTCCACCTCCTCCAGTGACTCTGGACCCTTACCCAGATCTGGGTTGGTTTCCAGAGCATCTCTTCCTGCATTGAAGGAATCAGCCCCACCCCTTCACTCAGAAAGTCCTAGAAGAAAGAGCAGTCTCCTGGTGTCCTTAAGAACTCACATGAACAGCAGAATCATTGCCTTAAAAGAGGGTTCCTTCTCCCACTCTGAAACCTTGGCGCTTCACCGCAGGGAGCACATGGAACTGCTCAGGGGCAGGAGACTAGCCAGGTCGCTGGCCATCCTCCTAACTGTGTTTGCCATTTGCTGGGCTCCATATTGTCTGTTCACAATTGTTCTTTCAACTTATCCTGAAGGGAAGCGCCCCAAATCAGTTTGGTACAGCATTGCCTTTTGGCTGCAGTGGTTCAATTCTTTTGTTAACCCATTTTTGTACCCCTTATGTCACAGACATTTCCAGAAAGCTTTCTGGAAAATATTTTGTGTGAAAAAGCAACCCACACCATCACAGAACCAGTCCATATCCTCATGAGTTCAATGACATCGCTTTGTCAATTTCACTCTCTACATCGTCCAGATGGACTTGAGCTTCCATCTTGCTCTGTGTTCTCCAACAAACAGTGCATAAAATATAATGTTTGAAAGCTTTAGTAAAAACTCTGAACGGGGAGCACCACTCTAGTCAACAACAATGTGGTGAACATGACAAGTTCACGGCTGCAGAAGAACCGTTAATTTCCTCAGTCCTCACCGCCCACCACCTCTTCCCTGTTTTGTGGATCTCGATGTAACAGTGACTGTGAAACTCCTGTATTCTTTCTGTGTTCAGTGTTTTCTCCAGGAGTGTCAGTTTCTTTGTGTGTGTGTGTGTGTGTGTGTGTGTGTGTGTGTGTGTGTGTGTGTGTGTGTGTATGTATGTATGTGTGCGCGCAGGTGCCTTCAGAGACCAGAAGAGGGTGCCAGACCACCCAAAGATGGAGTTCAGGCAGTTCTGAGCCATAAAACATGGGTGCTGGTGACCAAACAGAGCAGGTAGAGCTCTGAACCGCTGGCCCACTGCTCCAGTCCCTAGTCTCTGTTTTCCATTTTCTAGTCACACCACTGTGTTTAGTTTGAACCATCATTCCTTAAAGAAGCACCGGGCAAGCAGGTCCATGCAGGGGGTGGGAGCTCTGGTCAGTGGGTGGGTGAGTTCAGGCTGCAGTTGGCAAAAGCAGCATTGGAGTGACCCCAGGTCAGCACATGGGTATTTCATGATCCCAATGGGAAGGAGGTGCGGCATGTCAGCTGTAGGACAGGGCGGTCACCCATGTTTGAAAGATCAGCTTGATCTATTTTTTTCTACCCTCCTTTCCCAACCTCCACATCACCTAAAACTTACCTTGGTGAGACAGTATGGGTGAGAGGGGAAAGCTGGGCGGATGAAAGGACCACATGGTCAAACCACCCTGGCTGTGGCATTCACTCAACTAGCAGATGTCAGCAATTATTTAAATAAAAAAATTATGTGTATGGATATTTTGCCTGCATGTATATCTGTGCAACATGTGTGTGCCTAGTGTCAGTGGAGGCCAGGGGTGGGAATCAGATCCCCTGGCACTGGAGTCACAGATGATCATGAGTCACCATGTGGATTCTGGGAGCTGAACCTGGAGCCTGTAAAAAAGCAGCTAGTACTCCTGCAGAGATATGCCTCCAGTCTCAAGATGTCAGTAATTATTAGAAAATATTATTGTATTTATTTAGTGTCATTAATTATTCTGCATGTGTTTTGCATGTCCGGGCTCAGTGTGCTTCCTTTATTGTGCACTGAGTGTAGATTAACTTGACTGATGATTCATATTTTATTGTTTTTATGGTATTTTGCCCTCTTTTACTATTTTCTCTTTTTGAGACATGATTTTATTATATAATCCATGATAGCCTGGAACTTGTGATCCCCCCGACTTTGTTCCAAAGTGTTAGTATTATATGCATGGCTACTATCCCTAATGGACTTTAAACAACTTTTTTTCCCTCTCAGCATTTTATGCTGGAGTTATCATGAAATTTCATTTTATCATTGTTAACTCGGTCGCCTCTATAAAACTTTGTCAGGAATAGTTCTGTATCTTCTCAGGGTTCTTATACAACTTAATACTTTTTATATTCCTTAGATTTTTTTTTAACCTTTTTGCATTTTAAATTAATTTTCAGGCTAGTATATGAAGTGCTGGGTTTCATTACAGCATTTTTATACGTGCGTGCTCTTACATGTTGTCCTCATTAGATCATTTAAAACTTTGGCTTATTATAAACACTAAAATATGAAGATATTTAAAGCACATGAGTACCCAGAAATGGACCTAATTTTTTTGTATGTTCACACCTTACATAAGACAGGTACTTCATAGTTAATATAAATTATAAAATATCTAATATTTAAGCTATCATAAATGTACAATTCTCCCCTAAGTTTCTATATGTAAGTTTTCACTCTAAACATTTATAGATTAGTAATTTTGATTTTATGTGGTTTCTAATGTAGTGATCCTATTGAAACTTCTCTCAGTTGGGCCTTGGGCAAAGCACAGCTACATAATCAAATGCGTTTTCTGAAGTATGTAAAGGGTGATGCATGTAGTTCATTCAAAGATGCTGTAACGTAAGACACTGACATTTCATCATTAAATGGAAATTACTGCAAACTATCTATGATACAATACTTTTAATGTCACATTCATCATCCCATTCTTATTTGAGGTGTTGATGAGTGAGCAATGTGTACTTCGAGAGTAAGGGAGCCACTCTATAAGAATTTGAAAAAGAAACACTTTTCGATGGTGCGTGGATGTATTCCACAGCACATGTTTATTGAGAGTCACTGCTGTAGTGAAAGAGACACATAGTTCTGTGCTGAGGCATCAAGAGGCTGGCACACACCTGTTCTCTCCTGGAAGTTGCCCAGCTGCTAACGAACTGCAGTCTGTATTGCTGAGGATGAGAGGCCACACGGAGCAGAATCAAACTGTACCCAAGGCTGTCTTAGACCAGTCAGTCTCTAGTGGACACAGCAGTTTCCTGGATGGGTGCTGTGGGCCACAGAAATATGAAGCAGGAATTCAGATGACTATGGCAAAGGCTAATACCTGGAAGAAGCAGGGCTCTTCCAGAGGAAAAAGCCAAGCCTCAAGGGGTCTTGGTGATATTAGCTCATATATACATATATACATATATGTGTACAGACATATGTATATGTAGATGTATGTGTGTATTAACTGGTTTCTGCGATGATTTTCTTGTGCACTATGGCAGCTTTCCCAATTCATTCTTTTCCTAAGAACTTCTAAACAGTGTGGACTGATCATTTCTTGGGCATGTACAACTAAGGTATTTGGATACAGCCACGCAGGCAAGGCTTCCTGTTTCCAGGCTTTCTGCTTCTTCTTTTTAGCATTAGAATTCAGATATCTGCCTTCTGCAATTATCGCACACAAAACCAGGGCCAGCTCCGGACAAAAGCATCCAAAGACAAATGGCAGACAGAATAAGCTCTCCAGACCACCTGCTAGGTAAATATCCATATGGAGACACCGCCTAGGCCAGGCAGATGCTAGATACATAGCCTTGCTTCTTGTGAAAATTAAGCTTAGACCCCCCTTTCTCTCACAGTCCAAGAGGCACCCTTGAGCAACTTATTTAGAACAAAAGGGTTTTTACATACCAGGTATATCAACCTGTGAGGCAGGTTTCCTAGCTCCGATCAGACTTACCCCACCCAACCAGGAAGCGGAGGGCCTTGTTATGGACACTGGTCACGGGGTCGGGGGGAGGAGAGGAAGGAATGAGGATAGAGATAGGAACAAAGACTGAGATGAGAATGGGATGGAAATAATGTCCATGAGAGGACAGGAGGAGAAGGGACAGAGAGGAGCTAAGTATGAGAACAGAATTGAAGCTGTGGAGATAGAATTTTATCTCAGAAGAATAAAGTGAATGGACTAAAGAGTTTCACGTAAGTAGATTCATTTGACCTCCCTCAGATTAGTAACCCCCGCTGCTCGTAGCCTTTTCCCCAGGACTCTGGGAAAAATCTCCTCAGGCCAGGTACCTGAGGGGATTCGATAGAGGGTCCGGCTGGGTGAGCCATAGGCTCCCAAACAATGGCAAGGCTACATTCTTGGAGTACTTGTTAGTCAACAAGAGCAAACTGTCATGAAAGCATCCGTTCCACTCTGTATGAAGCAGGGCTTTTGACAGTAAGAAGAAATAAGGAGGCACTAATATGACGTCCTTTTGTGTGAGTGCTCGGGCAGAGGACATAAACATCAAAACATTATCATGCCAGAGCTTAGGCTTTGCAGAAAGGCCACAGCTTTTTCTCTACAGGAGCATATTCATTACTAAGTGATTTAGGAGTAAGAATAATTGATTTCGGAATCCCATAAATTATACAACATAATGAGGGATAAGTATGCTTGTAAGGGGTGGAGTTATGCAGGGGGGATACAAGGAGCATGAGGGAGCTATGTGCATCTCTCCGTCAATTACCATGTTTAGTTCTTCAAGTTGCCTCCAGTCAGATCTACAACCTAAGAATCAGCTGTGCATGTGTGCATGTGTGCATGTGTGCATGTGTGCACCACGGCTGAACAGTCAAGGTGGATTTCAGAGGGCAGTTTACAGCATCCTCCTCACCCACCTCCTGGAGGCAGGGTTTCTCTCTTTTCTGCTGCTCTGCATTTCCGGACCCAGTTTTCCTGGTCTCGGTTTTCTATCTCGTCATGGGAGTGCTGGGATTACAGATGTGCACTCCTGATGTTTTCCTGTTGGTGTAGGGACTGCAATGAGTCTATTGATATTTTAATTATTCTTTGCCACCCTTCAGCTCCTTGGTCGGTCAGTGCCCTGCCTGCCACTCAGGCAGCGAGTGGCCTGGCAGGGCTTCTGGTCCCACAGCCCCACCAGCTCTGCTTATGGCCGCAATATGTAGGTTTAAATTAAGTCTCCATTTTCCTGTTTATCAATAAGACTTAGAAGTCAGAGGCTGGGGTGGAAACCTGCTAGCTCAGAGAGACTGAGTAGCAACTGACTGACCTTGCTTTTTGAACGGAGACCCCACAAGAGATGCATCTCTTCCCTTGTCCCAGAACCAAGAGAGCTCAACCTCCAGTCCCTGCCCTTTCCTTCCTGTGCGGCTTCTCTATCCAAATTGCTGGCTTCTCTATGGCCACAGTCAACTAGTCACTGGCTCCACCTGATTCAAGGCAAACTTTACTGGGCAGTCTCAGGAGTGTCAGAGTGTGATGGAAATATCCCACAACATACTCCTGTGTTTGTCTGGATCCTGTACATGGGTTCTGAGGATCAAACTCAGGTGATCAGGCTTGTATGCCCAGTGCTTTTATCCACTGAGACATCTCGCCAGTCCCTGTAGTCCTTTCTTTATATGGTGAGATGTTTACTGGGGAAGAGGAGGTACCATTTTTAGTTCTTGGTGAGTGGTTCTGTGAAAAGATTTGTGGGGAAAGTCTACTTTATCTCTCTTTCATATTTTGATGTTGCCTGTTCCCTGTTCTCAGTAGATTCCATAAGCAATTGCACATAAATGAAGATTCCTGCATAAAAATTTCAGGATAACTGTTGAAACATTTTCCTGATGTTTAGTCATACTTAACGTTTCCAAAAGTCAAAAGAAAGATGGAAAAGATGTCCATTTCCCCAGAGGAAGTACTTACCAGGTGTTTCTTGGAACCTGGAAAACAGAGCTTTTTAAGGTTTTGCTGCATCCCTTCTGTTTCTGCGCCCTGCCCAGGGTATCCAGATCATGGCCCAGGGGATGCTCCGATGATTGATTGGCTCTTCTGCTT